CATTGCTGTCACTTTGTGAGAAGATTTAGCATGTGCTCTGGAGGCAAAATTAAAAAGGAAGAATCAAAGCTCGATGGTTATTATTATGACCTGTTTGTTGTACTCTAGATTTGAAGGTATGAATTATACACACACAAAATGATAATTTATATTTGTATGTCTAATTATAAACTTGCAATAATTAAAAATATACATAATATTATATTATATTTCTGTTCATTTTCTTTTCACAATCAAAGGATTGACAAGCCTTTTGTTCATGTATGTTACAAAGTTTTATATAAATCTGAGTGATAATAAGGATGTTGTTCAAACTCAAGGGTATTTTGTAACTTTTTGTGAAATAATATAATTTTATTTTCATGAAATTTATTCAAAATTATGAGAATTATAAGTAATTATTTTACTTTTTTTCTCAGTTATATTGATGCGTCAACTCAATACCAAAATTTAGAGACTTGAACAAGATCGCTAAGCACACGAATCAAAATTGAAATCAACGTTGGTACAATTAATGCCATTTTTGAAGTAAAGGAATTGAATGATAGCGATGTACGTGAATTTTAATTTACTTTAGTATTGAATTATTTGTTAAATTATATATATATTGTTGATGCTCAATATCAAACAAAATAATCTAGAAGAGGATGGTTGTGGGGTGATGAAGGATGATGGAGAGCCCGCTCCCTTCTTCGACTTTATGCCTGGTTCTTGAACGAGGGCTTGATGTCCACATTGCACAAGCAAGAAGAACCCGTGAGAGGGCGGAGACCGGTTCCCCCGTGGTTCCTCAGATGGTCAAGTTAATAAAACTCGAGTGGGGAATGGGGAAGGTCAAGAATCAATGTGGTCCTTAAGGTGACAATGTGTATTAGAGAGATGATCCTCCCCCTCTTTGGTCAGGAGGATAAAGTCTTTACCTCTTTTTTTTTCTTGGTCCTTTTTTTTCCTCTCTTATAGTTGGGATCAGATAGGTCATCTATAGCCCAGCCTCGGGAAGTGGTGTTGGAGTGCGGGCTAAGAGTCGAGTCACACCTCGCTTTACAAGTGTCGGTTGGCGACTGGAGGGGAAGTCACTTCATTATGGGAGAGTATGTCTTTGCATTTTCTAGGAAGTGATTGAGAGCGTGACAGAAGGCATGCTGGCATGTTGAATCATCCCTCACCTTATAGGTGTCGGTTGGCGACTGGAGGGGAAGTCACTTCATTATAGGAGAGAGTGTGTGACGCCCCTAGTTTCACACATGGCTATAGACCAAGGTGAACCCAGAGATGTCAAACCTGCCATGCACCCATACTGTACAACAATAAGTTTCACCAATCATAGCAACATCCTCTAATGGAATCAAAAATAAAGTGCAGGTACAAACAGGCGAAAGAAAAAAATAACTGCAACTAACATGATATAAGAAAGAATATCTCATAAATAAATCATGTCTCAATGAACAAGTCTGGAATACATCTGTCATCATGAAATATATGAATATATCACGATATGGATCAACTAAGAATGTATCAAGGCTCACTGCCTTTACAAAATGAGAAAAATAAAGAAAACTCTAATAAGAATGTATCAAGGCTCACTGCCTTTACAAAATGAGAAAAATAAAGAAAACTCTAATAACTGAATATAAGGTCTGTCTACTGTGGAGTCTCATTTTACAAAATGAGAAAAATAAAGAAAACTCTAATAACTGAATATAAGGTCTGTCTACTGTGGAGTCTCATCTACTAGCTCATATGATGGCGACTATGTAAGAACTCTTTCATCTGGTGACTCTCCGACGGTCTGAACCGCCTGAAAGGAAAATAAAAAAAGAACAACAGCAAAACTGTTAGAGCGCTAAAGCAAGATCACCTCCATCCGTCCCCAGGGGAAAGTCTACTACATGTAGTGGAGGCTCTATTTATTAAGCATAGTCTACCTTATTCATTTTCCACGTATCTACAACACGAGACGTAGTACGTCGAGCGAAGTAATCTAATACTTAGAAATCTACAACACGAGACGTAGTACGTAGTAATTTAATAATTAGAAATCTATAACATGAGACGTAGTACGTCGAGCAAAGTAATCTAAACAAGGAAACCCTCATGTATATATCATATATCTCAAATAGTAGATAACTAAATATTAATCCCAAACTAGAACTGAAAGCAAGGAATACTGGAAAGTAAAGCCTCATATCCAACGTCGACATATGTATCTCATGCACTCGCATAACATAGTATTTCAGTTATCAATTTTCTCAACAATGAGTCATGTCTCATTTAGCGTCCGCCAAATACTCGGATATCAAGTTATAAAAGTTATATTTTCTGATTCTTTTCAACTAATAGCACCCCTGTGCATGACAACTATTAACTATTTCAAACTCTGCGCATAACTATGCGGAAACAAAACCATAGGTCTACGCACACTCGTGTGGATACAACAATATAGGTACATCAACCTCTGCGCACACTTGTGCGGATACCAAAACATAGGTTCACTAACCTCTACACATTCTAATGCTGATACCATAATATAGGTTCACAAACCTTTACGTACACTCTAGTACGGATACCATAATATAGGTTCACAAATCTCTACGCATACTCTAGTGCGGATACCATACCATAGGAAAATGTAATCAGATTAACACTAAAATAAAATCCCTCTCTAGGGTATTCCCACATGAAGTACAACACCATTCATCGATAATTATGTCTATAACATGCAACTCAAGCCCGTGCTCACAATTCAAAACAAGACAATACATAATACAGAAAATCAGCCTTTGTAGTCGACTACTAAGTTTAGTAGTCGACTACACTGAGTCCACCAGACTCTGTAATGCTCGACTCAGGAATTAGTATTCGACTAATAAGAACATTAGTCAACTACTCTTTATTGACTCGGTCTTTGTTAAGTCAATTCGGACTTGAGTAGTCGACTACTTCACTTAGTAGTCGACTACTAAGTTGAAACTTGCATAGAATCATGCACAAACAACACATTTGCAAACGTCGCGTGATTTTCATACTTTAACACATTATAAAACTGGTAAATGTTAGACCCTAGAGGGGGGGGGGGTGATTAGGGTCTTATGCTAATCTAATCCGATTAAATGCTAATTAAAATCAATTAATAAGTTATCCTAGCAAGTATGAAATACAACAAGAATATAAGCTAGGATAAACAATATGAACAATGAGATATATCTTATATGGTAGAAATATATGCAAGGATATATAAACAATAAGATATATCCTAACAAAGAGATATAGACAATGTATGTGCAAGGATATAAAACTAACACAAGGGTAAACAATATGAACTAGATAGTGGATCATATAAATAATGAGCTAATGACAATGGCGACAAGAAATATAAATACAAGTATAAATAAACGCCAAAGCACACTCAAACATAAGATATGATCACGGAGTTCGGACCTTCCGTCCTACGTCTCCGCTCCCCACTCCCGGGGAGAAATCCACTATCACAATCGGGTTTTCTACGCTCACCCGAATAACGTTTACAACCACACTATGTCGGTTTTCAACGCTCACCGAATAACGTTCACTCCTCACACTCGGTTTTTTAGTTCACCGAAAACTTCACAACACACTCGGTTTTCTAGCTCACCGAAAACTTTACAATACTCATAATGTAACAATAAATGATTTGTTCTCTCATACAAGGGGAGAACTCAATTAAGCACAACTTAATGTTACAATCTCTCACAACCCTAATATACTATGTATGCAAATACAATAAGCTCAAGTGGGTGTGTGTAACAATGAGTATAAATCAAATCAACTAAACTCAAATATAAAATCTAGCTTAAGAACAATGATAATCAAACAAGTATATAAATGTAAAGCTAGAGTT